ATCCCAGCTACTCTGGCGTCTGAGGCAGGAGAATCACTTGAAACCAGGAGGTGGATGTTGCAGTGAGCTGAGATCACTGGACCAGGCTGCATTCCAGCCTGTGTGACAGAGCAAGAGTCCAACTCAAAAAAAAAAAGAAAGCTGAGTTCAGTTCTGGTGCTGCCATTTAACCTGGAGTGTAACTGTGCCTCAGTTTCCACATCTGTAAAGTGAAGCTGACAAGCAGTGCCCACCCACCTGCCCACAATGCAAGGTTCTTTGAACTGGCTGCACCACAGGCCATACCCTAGGTTGAGCCATGGCGACCCCTGTGACCTGCACCTACACCTCTGGATGGCTTCCTGGAACTAGAAAGTCTGAAGTAACTGGAAAACCACAAAAGGAGAAGAAATGACCAGCCCCTGCGTGCCTAATTAACTAGAGACATTTTTCTATTGTTCCTTATTGCCACCTCAATTGATAAGGCAATTGGACTTTGTAACCAACCTTGGTCAACCTCGTGACTCCAGGCCCTACAACCCCCTCCCAGCTTGCAAAAACCGCCCTAAACCATAACTTCTGTAACTTTCCACTGCTTACCCCAAACCAATAAAACCAATTCCTATCCCACTGCCCTCCGCTGACTCTCTTTTTGGACTCAGCCTGCCAGAACCCAGGTGAATAAACAGCCACGTTGCTCACACAAAGCCTGTTTGTGTGGGTCTCTTCATTTAGGGCACACGTTTTTTTTTTTTTTTTTTTTTTTTCATTCCTTCCATTTTATTGTATACACTTTTTTGGTTAGGGCACACGTTTTAACACACCCATCCCACAGGCCTACAGTCGTGGAGGGAAGACCCAGTGCATGGGAGAAAACAGACCTCAGACTGGAAAGTGATGGATGGCATTCTTTGAAATGGCTCCCTTGGGGGAGAAAGTTTTCTAAGCCGTAAGTAGAGAAACTCCTTGGGTTAGGGAACTTGGGGATGGAAGGATTTCATCTGGAGCTCCCAGAACAACTTGGAGAGCTTTCTGTTTTTTCCTGGAATTGGCTTTGTGCAGGGCCCTGGGATGAAGATGCTACACACTCCCCCTTCCTTTATTGCCTTATTGTGTTTCCAAGAAATGCAGCCACAAACCCAGGCCGTGACTCTCCAGGGCTTGCTGACGCGGGGGAGGCAGGCCAGAGCTGGTGCAGTCTTCTAGGTTCTTGCTGGTTTTCTCCTCCTTGCCCCTCGCCTTTATTTTATTTATTTTATTTTTTTGAGTCAGTCTCCCTCTCTTGCCCAGGCTGGAGTGCAGTGGTGCCATCTTGGCTCACTGCAACCTACACCTCCCTAGTTCAAGCAATTCCTCTGCCTCAGCCTCCTGAGTAGCTGGGATTGCAGGTGCACACCACTATGCTCGGCTAATATTTTTGTATTTTTAGTAGAGACGGGTTTTACTATGTTGGGCAGGCTGGTCTTGAACTCCTGGACTCAGCCAATCCGCCCCCCCTTAGCCTCCCAAATTGTTGGGATTATAGGCATGAGCCATTGTGCCCAGCTCTTTTGTTTTTTTTTGAGATGGAGTCTGGTTGGAGTGCAGTGGCACAATCTTGGCTCACTCAACCTCTGCCTCCTGAGTTCAAGCACCAGTTTTACTGCCTCCTGGTCACAAAATGGCAGCCAAGTTGACTGTAGACAAGCAGTGGGTGGGCCAAGGCAGACCAGGGAGACAGGAGATGGAAGAGGGGTGGGGACCTTTTCTAAGAGCTCCCAGTATCCAGTATAATGTCCCCTTTGTCCCACTGGTCCGCTGCAGAATGTGAACCCTAGGTCACTTTCCTTGGGATCAAAGGGTTCATCCTCACTGACAGCAGGAGGGAAGAGGAGAAAAAGTTGAGGCCAAAGCCCCAAGGCCACATATCTGGTAAGGTAGCTAAAGGCCCGCAGGGCAGATGTCCCCCACAGCTCGGGCCCCCATAACGCTTGCTCAGCATTCCGCGTCCCATCCCAGGCTTCTGATGGGGCTGCACCCCTGCTGCACAGCCCCCTTCCAAGCCACGTGGCCTGATGGGTCAGTTTGAGAAACTGAGGTCTACAATGAAACCCACAAGGTATTGTCATCAAATACCTTCTTGCTCTTTTTTTTTTTTGAGATGGAGACTCACTCTGTTGCCCACGCTGGAGTGCAGTGGCGTGATCTTGGCTCACTGCAACCTGTGCCTCTTAGGTTCAAGCAATTCTCATGCTTCAGATTCTTGAGTCGCTGGGATTACAGGCATGTGCCACCAATTCCTGGGATTAGGAGCTGGGTCAGTAGCTGGAATTACAGGTGCATGCCACCAACGCCTGGCTGATTTTTGTATTTTTAGTAGAGAAGGTGTTTCCCCATGTTGGCCAGGCTGGTCTTGAACTCTTGACCTAATGTTGGAAGTTAAGCTTATTTTTTTATTTTTTATTTTTGGTCTTTTTGTTTTTTTCCTTTTTGTGGAGAATGGGGTCTCGCTATATTGCCCAGGCAGGTCTCGAACTCCTGGGCTCAAGCTATCCTCCCCCCTCTGCCTCCCTAAGAGCTGGGATTACAGGTGTGAGCCACAGCGCCCGGCCTCCTGACCTAATGTGATCCACCCACCTTGGCCTCCCAAAGTGCTGGGATTACAGGGGTGAGCCACTGCACCCAGTCTTAAATATGTCCTCATCAGTTCCAGTGATGTGGCCCCGCCCGAGTGTGGGTGAGCTGAAAGTGGCTGTCACTAAGACATTTCCCTTGCCCAGTGGGGAGCACATGCTTAGTGGTTACTACCAGGGCTTTGGAGAGACTGGTCATTCCCCTCTCTGGATTTTTGTCATCTGAAAAATGTGCTAGTAACAGTTCCAACCCTACAGAATTGTTATGAGGGATAGTTAATGGCTTCCAAGTGCTTTTCTTGGTGCCGGCACAGTTAGCTAAAGTATGGCATTCAGGGCGTGGCTCACACACCTTTCCTGAAGAACCCTCTCAGAGCACCCCAGACTGTAGTCACTGTTTACAGAGGCCTGGTCTGAGTCTCAAAGGTAGAGTGAAAGGAGGACAAAGCATCACAACCTCAAAGACCCCAGTACTGAAATAAAGCACTGAGGGCTTCTGGCTGCAGAGATTGGAGCAGGCCTTCCTCCCCAGATGAGGATGTTAAAAAATAGCAAAATAAATTAGCCAGGCATGGTGGTGTACATCTGTAATCCCAGCTACTCAGAGGCTGAGGTACAAGAATTGCTTGAACCTGGAAGGCGGAGGTTGCAGTGAGCCGAAATTGCGCCACTACACTCCATCCTGGTTGACAGAGCTAGAGGATCCATCTGAAAAACAAAGAAAGAAGGAAAAATGGGCCAGGTATGGTGGCTCACGCCTGTGATCCCAGCACTTTGGGAGGCTGAGGCGGGAGGATTGCTTGAACCAAATTTGAGACCAGCCTGGGTGACATAGGGAGCCTGTTTCTATTATAATTTCAAAATGTTTTCTTTCTTTTTTTTTTTTTTTGAGACGGAGTTTCGCTCTTGTTACCCAGGCTGGAGTGCAATGGCGCGATCTTGGCTCACTGCAACCTCCGCCTCCTGGGTTC